TTCATACAAAATTCTGAATTTCCTGAAGCAAAATACTGGCAAGGATATTATTATCTGAATGGGTATGTTGTGGAAAAGGATTTAGATCAGGCCAGAAAACTTTACAAAGAAGCTGCTGATGAAAATCATATGCCAGCACAGTATGAATATGCAGTCATGCTCTGTAAAAAAGAGGATGATGAAACTACAAAAGATAAAAATTTCCAAGAAATTATGCATTATTTAAAATTAGCGGCTGAAAATGAAAATTTTGATGCAGTATATGATATTGGTAATATTTATCTGAAGGGAAAGTTCAATGTGCCAAAAGATGAAAAGCGCGGGGTAAATTATTTAATATTAGCGGCTGACAATAGAAATGTTAGTGCAATGTATGATGTGGGTATTATTTATTTGGAAGGAAAGTTCAATGTGATAAAAGATGTAAAGTGCGGGGTAGAATATTTAAAATATTTAAATTTAGCGGCTGATTATAGAAATGCTAATGCATTGTATGTTATGAGTAATGTTTATTTAGAAGGAAAGTTCAATGTGACAAAAGATAGAAGGCGTGGGTTGGATTATTTAAAATTAGCGGCTAAAAATGGAAATGCTAATGCAATGTATGATATGGGTAATATTTGTTTAGAAGGAAACTTCAAAGTGCCAAAAGATGAAAAGAGCGGGGTAGATTATTTAATATTAGCGGCTGAAAATAGAAATGTTAATGCAATGTATGATGTGGGTATTATTTATTTGGAAGGAAAGTACAATGTGCCAAAAGATGAAAAGTGTGGGGTAAATTATTTAAAATTAGCAGCCGAAAAAAATAATAAGAAGGCAATAGAAAAATTAGAAACGTTAGGCATACAAATTTAGTTATTATCGCATACCTCATTATCGGATGCGAAGCATCTAATAACTATATATTAATAATCTATATCGTAGTATTAAAGGATAATAATTTTGCAATCCTTGAAAGTATGTTAGTTGGTGACGCATTAATCAGCCAAATAAAAAATTCTAACGATAATAAAACTATAAATTTTAATAGAACGAAGGCACCATCTCTAAAGCTATTTATTACTTGAATCGTGTTCAAAAAAATACGTTTTCCATTCGTTTCTTCATAGCCTCTATTATTATTTTTATTGTATTCAAAGAAATAATCGTACTTTTTATTTTTATAATAATATTTATAAATTAAATTTTCCAAGCTTTTACGACTTTTACAATAAACAATGATATCCTTAATATAATACGCATTAAAAGTTTGATGTACAGTGCCATATACAGTCTACCCTCGTTAATATCAACCTAAACCATAAGATGAATTTTTACAAATTTTCTATATTAAAACTCCCTCATATATATTAACTTTTAATATAATCCCTTGTTATTATCACTATAAACATGAATTTAAACCAATTCAAATGAGTTGATATAAACGAGGCAGACTGTAGTTATAAAAAATTCTTTAAATGAAGATGCTTTTCTATACTCTACGCTAATCTATATTCTAAAAAAGACTATTATCAGTGGGTGTTCACTTTTAAAACTAATGTAAATTTTATTAGCTTTGTAACCATACATTCGAAACTAAAACTCTCTTTATGATGAATCTTTATAATGAACTCTGAACATAATCAATAAGGATAGCTAATGAAATTTAGTGAAAATTTCATTCAAAATGAAATTTTACGAATGCACTGAATAAAAGGGATCCCTATGGCTGATTAAAACATGCTTATAAATAAATATCAACAAATTATTAAAAAGATTTATATAAAGCAATTTTTTAGCTTGTTGTGAAAAGGTGCAAACAAAAGAGAATACATATATATCCTTAATTACTTATTAGGAAAAAAAAATTGAAGTAGTAGTAGAGTGTGAATTCATGATATTTCCCAAATTTCCGGGGGTTCAAGATCCGCTCTAATCGGAAGTTTAATTTTACTAATCTAAATTCGATATAGGCGTTGTTTACACATTTTTGAAACCGGTTGTAATGTGTCACCAACCTGGCACACATTCAATAATTGTGATCCATATGTGAATGAGCGGAAACAAAGTTTCTACTAATTCCCAATGGATCAGGATATTATTACTATTATTTATTTATTATTAATATAAATATATAAAATAAAAATTTTCTTTATTTAATATTTATACTATAGTATTATTATATTGTGTACGTAATAGTTAAAAAATAAATTTGAAAATAAATAAAATAAAAATTTTCTTTATTTAATATTTATACTATAGTATTGTTATATTGTGTACGTAATAGTTAAAAAATAAATTTGAAAATAAATAAAATAAAAAAATATGAGCTTTATTTAATTGCTAACCAATATAAAAGATTTCTAAAACTAAGATGATATTAAGTTTTATCAACAAATTTAGCTTTTCCTTTCTTGATATTTTTTCTTTGATTTGATCCAGTGTCTTCTTTAACTGGGTCCGGTTTTTTAGCTCGTGTTTTCTATAAAAATAAAACGGAATATGAACATTTACGGTATATGTATAGTTGACTATACAGAACTTCCAAAATAATGACTTACCTCTATAGTATATTTAGTATATTGATATGTTTCAAAAGTATGAGAAACCAGCAATGATGAAGGAAATTTATTTTTAATAATATTTTTATCTGCCCAATCAGGCCAACATTCCAACCCTTCATCCTCAACCATATAATCCGACAAATTTACATTTTCATTAATATTTTCACTAGTTGTCAGATATCTTACAATAAACCTTTTTAATGCTGTGGCAAAGACTCCAGCTGGAATACATGATTTTGCATCATATGCTTGCTCTTGTTTTGATGATTCAAAACCGATTGCTTTTGAAATATCTCGTTTTAATGGTTCACTAAGTTTGGCTTTATATTTATGATGAATACAATTAGCAACCACATCTGCAACATGTTCTTCTACCAATTCATATAATGCTACTATATGTTTAAGTTGTAAGCCAGCTCTTGATAATAATCTATAACTGCTATTACTTTCTTTAAGCACTGTTAATTTCATCCAGTTTTCTATATAATCGGTAATTAATGTATTACCGTCACCTCCAGAAGTGCGTTTAAGGAAACAAACTATCATTTCCAAAGTTGAGAGCAAATCTTTTGGATTTTCAAATGCGAATGTTATTGCCGTGAAAGCACTACTTTCTCCAGCAAATGGCCTGTTGATTGATGAATAAGTTCCTACAAACAAAGCTTTCTTATCATCAGGGATTGGTTCTTGTTCCACTAATTCTTTAATTTCACTCAAAATTGTCATAGATTCTTGGAATATTTCCTTATGATACACAAAAGGTTCCAAATAAGATTTTTGTTCATTAGGTACAATAAATGCTTTTTCATGAACTAATTCAAAAGCTAGTTCCGCTTCAATTTTATTTAAGTCATATTGAATTTCACGACCATGACCAATCCTTAGATCAAATTGGCTATATCCGAAATTATTTGTATTATATTCATATGAGACTATGTGTACAGATCTTATGTTCTCGAGTGAAATAGATTGCAATTGGTATACAGGAGGAATTGTTTGTTTTCCATTTTTTTTAGTTTGCATCTCTGTTTGTTCAAGGAATTTTAAAGATTGACATTTTACTGAAGGAATTTCAATGACATCTTTAAGGAAATCATTTTGTAATTGGACTAAGAAATCTATGGCACCACATAAGAACAAGCCTTCATTAGCTTCTTCGTATAATCCCAAAAGAACCTGCATATCTTCGTTCATTTCAGGCATTTTATATGGGAACTCTAAGCATTGATATCTTTTGACATGTGGAATCAATTTATTCCAGGCTTCCGCAAAAAGGTTGAACGCACTTTTTAATGATCTAACTGTTTCACCTGTGTCATCGTTTTCACTTTCATTATTAATAAATTTCCTGAATGTTGATGTTCTTGCATCTTGTCTTTCAATTCTATATGAAAGGCTAGTATGTAAAATCTGCGTAAATTTCACAAGTGGAGGGAGGCATCGAATAAGTGATAAATATTTTTCGTGTTTCAAAAATACGGCCAAGAATGGGAATGATTCCTTATATTCTGCATTATTCAAGAAATAAGCTCGGAAATTATCAAAATTCGTTTCGCCAATCAAACGCCATAGTCGTGGCAAATGATTTTCAACATAGAGATCATTTAATGTCACCATTTCATTAATTTCGGCTTCAATTTTTGGTTGAGCGTTTACAGAATTTGTTTCTAATTGCATGCGAAAATCTGTAACGGAACCCATAACATTTTTAATTAACGGTGAAACATATTTTTGGCTAAATTGCACCTCCCAAGCTTCTCTTTCATTTGGTGTATTTAATTTTGCCTGTTTTTGCATTGGTTGTCGTGTCATTTCTGAAATAATTGCATGTAAAAGTAATGCCAATTGTTCATCACCGCAGGCAAGAATTTTTTTCAATATATCCCAATCATGATTAATGTGTGCCGCACAATATTCTGCTATATCATTTTCACCAAGATTATTTGCGTTCGTATTACCTTTGATAAATCTGGTGACTTGTTGAGATGGAGCTTGTATTCCAATGATAGTATGTGTAAAAAGATGAATAATTCTATAAGATGCTGGTGTCACTGATCTAACGCTGTAAGAGTCTTCTGCATTTTGTGTTTCTATAATATAACCTCGTTGATCCGCGGCATCTTTTGGTTGGGTCAACGGTATATGATCTAAACGTGCATTTCCTACAGCAGGTCTGTCATAAACTTGGCCCCCTATGACTCTTTTGCACTTTGGACAACTACTTGCATGTGTCACATTTCCACATTCACCAACTAGATACACATACCCACATTGACATTGGTATCTAACAATAAAAAAAAATTTAATTACATAAATCATCATTAATAATATAATTATAATAAATCATATTGTTATATGTTTACCTTGTCAAGCGTTTGTCAGCCATATTTGACATCATTACTGCATTAATTACGACTGTTTGTTCGTCTGAAGGACATCCCAAAATAAAATCATTTCTACAATCTTGTATAGCTTGCATATACATGGCTAATGGTGAAAGATCTTGAGGAACCGAAATATGTAATGCAATTACATGCGCAATCACTGAAGCCATATAAACTCTCCTATTATCATCTTCGGGACCAATTCTACAAAGTTCTTGTTTATTAACCAAAAACTTAGTCAATGTTTGTTTATAAATAGGGGGAATACGATTTTTGTCTTGTTTATTGTCTAAAAACTTGGTTATGTGATTTGCCAGTAAAGTTTCACTTTGATTCCATTCACGTGCTGCTTGAATAAGATAGAGTCTTGTAATTATCATTCCTGCAAATGAAATTCGATGATTTATTATTTCTCCTGCGATAGGGTTTAATACGATTTTTATTAATTCTTTCAAAGGAGTGTCATCTCCACGAACTACGATTCTTGTAGCTGCATGTTCAGCTTGTTTATATTGTTCCATACACCAATATGGACTATAATCAAGCCGACTATCTTTATTATCCCATGGAATATCCCCGAGATGTGGTATGATTAGTTGTTGTACTTCACAAAATCGTCGGATGTCATCAATTGAAAATCCTTGTAATCGTAAAGATTTTAATAAGTAGAGCAAAAATGAATGGATCAAGGGTTGTGACAATTCTAAACGTTGATTTAAGTCATTAATATGGAATATTTGATCATAATCAACAGGTTCTTGTTCTTCGTCGTCATTATCATCAATATCAAAATCGATTTCTAATGGATCAGTTAAAGATTTTTCCATTGATGTAGAATTCCATAATTTGTTTGCAAATGATTTCAAAAGAGCAATCGCAGATATTCTTTGTAATGATTTAACATCAGTTGTAATCAAGATTTCCGTTGCTTTCATGAAATATCGTGATAATCGTTTTAATCCGTAGGCATCGAAAAATTGTGTTTGAATAACATCACAACATAAAGCTGATATCGCCGAATCAAAATTTTTTCCATTCAAGACTTCTTCTATGACTTGCAAACGTTCGGATTCTATTAAAACTTCACGCGGATCATTAATTAGATCAATGAATATATCATCATCTTCTGCATGGAAAATACGATGAATTGTCGGGAAGGTTAAAGGCAAAGGTTCCTGGGAAAAGACTTTTTTGTAAAGGTGAAGTCGAATAGGTGATTCAAGTGGTAATATGGCTATGCATCTATTAATAAAAGATCGTCTTGATGATAAATTATTTTCTGTAAGTGGTAACTCATTAAACCTTTCGAAAACCATATCTATAAATTGTTCTGAAATCACTTCTTTTTCATCTTCAAACTCTTGAATTTCTATAAGCTTTGGCAAATCAAAGGATTTTGAAAGATCATTATATATTCGAAGTTTATGCATTGCTGGACTATTAGAAGGATTTGGCAATTTTGTTGATAATGATAATACATTTACAACATCATGTTGCCATGTTGAAAGTTCATTTTCAACATTATCCATGTCAATTCTATAGAGCTTTCCTATCATCATTTTTGAAACTTCGTCTAATAAACGTTCTTCAAAGTTCAATTCTCTGCTTTCATCAAATCCTATTTCAAACATTTCTTCTATAACTGATGGACATAATATTGATAGTTGTAATTCAGCTAGCACAAATTCGGCATTTTTCCACCAATACATATGAAGTTTAATAGGGTTGGGTTTTTGTTGACACATGTGATGAGAAATAATCCATGATAAGAATCTACTGTTACTATTAGGATCATTTCCATATGTTGGCGAGACAAAATCTACAAAATCTTTGAAATACGGTTCTGCTATTTCAAAGAATTGTGGTAACTTTAATATTGGAATTGCTGATATAATGTTTGCGGAAAATCTTTCTGTACAAGCGTCAATAACAGAAGTTTCGAGCTCTCTGGTTTCCTCATCAATATTTTCTTCTTCTTCTTCCAACATTGCTAAATCTTCTTCATATAATCTCTTGAATTTATCAATTTGTCTCATAAAGTATAGTGAAAAGGGAAATTTCACATAAAGCTTTTTATTTCTTATTGGATATACATCTGGCTGAGGTTCTCGCATATTCTCTGTGCTAATAATTTTAGGATCCATGCAAACATTTTTCCAGAATTCGAGTAATGCAGTGCTATCCGAATAGTATTCATCAGTGTATAAATCATCATATAAATCATCACGGTTTAAATATTCATTATTGAAAAGTACCGAAAGACCTGATACCATTTCTAATGCACAAAGAAATTTGGCAATTGGTTTTCGAACGAGATTATTTATATACGTTTTAAGCGCTACCGAAAATGATGAATATAAGTATAAATTCGTTTTATTCATTGCGATTTGTAACTGCCAATTTTCGGGAGCATTTTTTTGTAGCCATTCGAGTGATTTGGTTTTTATACAATCGATTAACGTTTTGTGATGTGGAATCCTTTGAAAGAGCAACCTATTGATAAAAAAGAAAATCAAATAAAAATCATTATTATAAATTACATAAATCTTAAAAATACAGCAGTAATAACAAATTATTCAACATTGCATAACAGAATCTGAAAACTTACTTTATATAATCCACAGATTCAGTAGAGGATTGAAACCGCATGCAAAGCAAACACCAGAATAATTCCTGATTAAGAATTTCTTCAAACTTATATGTGGTCTCAAGCATGTCAATTAAATTTCCATCTAAATAAGTGCGGAGAGGATGTTTCTGAGGTGACAAAGTTTCTATTGTAACTAAATCCCAACCGCACATGAAGTTGAATGATGATATAGCACGTATATCATTTTCCCGTCGCATGTGGAGAATGATGCAAACATGTTTGACTGGTTTTGATTTCTTTGAAGTTTTATTTATAGAAAAGAATTCATGCTTATATTGTTCTATAATGAATTTTGCTAATTTAATGCATCCAGAGTTAACAGTTGCTAGGTCACACTGTAGAATTAATAATTTTTCATCCGATTCTAGCCAGAAATGTTTAATCCTATTTTGTAGCTGGGCTTCAGATTTGAATGTCGAAATTTTATCAATTTGGCATGTAATATTGTCTAGGCATGATGATATATCAGTATTGATATTTGAAAATGTGTTAATTATAATTTGGAGACCTCGCTTTTTATTTTCAATATTTTCGCAATTTTCATTGTTATCAATATTTTCAGCATTTTCATTGTCATCAATATTATCAGAATATTCATTATTATCAATATTATCATTTTCAGTATCATCATAATCTTCTAGCTTTGATTGAATATATGTATTAAGATCATCGTGTTTTTGATGGAAATAGAAATCATACCATCTTTCAACTTCACCGCTGCTTATATGCGCCAAAATAGATTTTTTTGATCTTACAATACCGTCTGAAGTTGCGATACCTATTAACAACTCTTTGCATCTGGACAAAATGTCTTCCTTATTTTCAGAGTCAGAATTGCTGCTATTGTAAATAATCAAACTTTGTAATGTTTCTTCCTTGTCGAATCCAACAAATATATCATGCTCATTAAATCCGGATTTAGGCATACTATCTTCTATATTAAGACTCGATATTTGTTCAACCCATGTAGATAGTTCATTTACTAACTCTTTCATGTCATCAGTTAAAGTATCATTAATTGACATATTTTGTTTTTCAAATCTATTTAGAAGTGGAGGATCTGCAAGTGATACTTTTTTCTCATCAAGTACCAAGATACAGCGGAAGTTGCTATGCACACAGACCATGGGATTTGAATAGGCACCTAATGCAACGCGTGTATAGTATTTTATATCACCTTCTTTACCAACTGTTATGTAGTTCTGATTCCATAAATCATAAAGACTTCCTATAAATGGCAAAAACAAAAGTCAATACAATATATACAAATCTACTGTTTTTTTTTTTTTTTTTGAACAAGGAATGATATTTAAATACCATATATAATTTCAAGATCTGTCAAAATCAAAGGCCTTCCAGCTTCCACACACATCTAATAATATTAAAATTACATTTATTAAGACTTAAATATTATTTGCAAGTTTTATAAATGCTTACCATAATGCGACTTAACACTCCATATTGATAATCTCCATCAAAGTCATCAGGAAATTGACTCCCATAGATAACTACCGGTTCTAAATCCCAAGTTGCACCCTCTTGAACTGCATTATTGTCGGCCATTTTTGAGAGCTCTTTACTCCATTGTCTCAATTTATACGTCAAGATATTGACAATAGAATCACTTTTACCAATGATCATTAAATGCCGTGCATCTTTGTCTTTAAGATTGGCCTTTATTAGTTCTTCAACAGATATTTGTTTTAAGTCGCTTTTTGTATTAAAGAACCACGATGATCCACCATGGAACGTATCTATAACATCTTTGAAATGCGTTAAATATTGGTTATTCATCTGTTTTATTCCTCCAAAATTTCTTGCTAATGCCATTTGTGTTGATTCTACTGTAAGCTATATGAAATAATATATACTTAAGACCCAAATATTAAGTGAAAAAAAAGAAGATTTAATACATAAGTAATAAAATACCTCATTATCGCTAAGACTTTTAATTAATGAATAATAATCACGAAGACCATGAAAATTCTCAATTAATTGCTCTTTTTCATATCTTAGATAAGAGCTTGCCAAAGATTTAAGTTTAGCTGTTCTATTACTCCAGACTAACCAATTTTTCTTTTCGAATAATCTCTCTGCTGTATCGCTTAAATCTTTTTCTTCAAATTTAGGCCTAAAAAGACAATTAAATATAATTAAAAATAAAATATGTAAAATATAGAATTTACTTTAAATTACTAACCTTTGAACTAATAATGCTCTACTTGATTTTGAATTATCTAGCCTCCAATTACTTATACCAATAACAGAAACATTCGGAAGCTCATTAGGATAGCTTGGTTCAAGTAATGAATGTAGAACTTTCAATGGATTATAGGGACTGGTTTCAGCTAATCCAACTAAAATTATAAAAAAAATTTCAGGATCAGAATATCGCATATATATTAAATATTTATCATTTATTATTTATTAAATACCTTCATCAAGCAAAACCACAGTATTTAAGGGAAATTCTTTTGAATTAGTTTTTTGATAATTTTCTGCTTTTTGGAAAACTTTAATAATTCCGTCAGAAGTAGAAGAAGATGAACCTTGGTAGGGAATAATATAGACCTAAAGAAATAATAATAATATATATATATATAATTTGTAACTTGAAACTATATAAATGCGTGTAAATTTTTCTTACTTGTGGTAATGTTTTAAAATATGGGTCGTCAGAATCAGCACCACGGAGATTCTGACTAACCAAACGGATTGCTAGAGATTTTGATGCTCTAAATGTTAAAAAAGTTAATAATTAGTTTACGCTTAAGATACATCTTTCATAGCAATAACATACCCTGGTGCTCCAATAACAAATAATGGTATCTTTGTAAATATTGAAACAACCATGGTGAGCACATTCTCAAGTAGGGCTTCGTTCTCTGCAGTTTGTGGCTTAATAGTTCAATATAATTGATTAGAAGTGTATTATTACATTTTATTGTAAAATTTATTAAATAGCTACCGGTTTTGTCATTCTAATCATATAATTTTCTTGTTCTTCTCTAATAATCTTTGCAAAGAGTGTTGGTGTCATTTTTGTTTTGATGGATTTCGGTTTAAACTTATCGAATACTTCGCACATTCTTTCGCAATATTGTTCACGCAATTTTTGATCATAAATTCGAACTTGGTAACAAAGGCTTAATGATAATATAAATGATAAAACCATAGGATCTGGTCCATTTCTTGAAGGATAATCTCTATATGCTTGGGCTTGTGTAAAACTAAGACTAGGTTTAGGTCGATTTTTTAAGCTCTTATAAAAATATTTAACAAGGATTATAGCACGTTTAACATCACGTAAACTGACGCTATGCACTCCTTCATGAACTCGTGTAAATTGTTGTGAAGCAAATAATAATTCAGGGAATAAATTTGATTGCTTTTCTAAACTCGTATTAACCATTATATGAATATAAGTCTTTTCATCAGATGGTTTTAATACACCATAATCCCAGACATAGTCTATAATTTGATCAGGCAGTGGATGAACTTGATAGGCTAATTTACTTTGTTCTTCATATCTTTTTGCTAAAAGACCTGCTTGTGTATCACTATTTTGTCGTAAACGATATGGATTACACGCAGAGAAAAGCCTTATGTTAGGATGAATTGCTTGACCATGAATTTGTCTATGCGCTATAAGATCAGCAAGTAATCCAATATGATTGCAAGTATTGATTTCATCAAAGAATAACCAGACTTGACGAGTTTCGGCGATTTTCTCTGCATCGGACATAAAATCTAAGATTTCTTGTTCTCTAATTCCAGCGTGCAAGTTAAGAGCTCTAAATTCAACATCTACGACTATTGATAAAAATTTAATCAAACTCGTCTAAACATAAATTTTAAAATATATTAATTAGACAATGATGTATTAAGGTATTATGTTACAACTTAGTATATAAGATTATTTATTAAGTTCACCTTGCCACATCCAGCTTCACCACAGCAGACCACAGGAACATTAGCACGAGCTCGCAAAAGAATTAATGCCATCTTCAAAAGATTATCAGCAGATAGTGCATAAGGTTGGTATTCACGTTTATCAAGAGTTGTACGTGCTAAACATTCCAATTTTTTTAGGATTTCGTCAGGATGCATATCATCAAAATTATCCAATATATCTACTGCTTTCCCCTTGGCTGGAGTTCCGGCCCCAACATATTGACTTTTTAACAAGTTTACAACATCATCTGGTACCTTTTCTCTATCACGATAAAGAGCACAAATAGAATCGGGTGTTTGTGACATGAAAAACACTAATAAATGATTTGAGTCTTCCCAGTGCTTAATCGTTCCTAAATTTGCAGTTTCAGCATTTGGTAAATGTTTTAATTGTTCTGTTTTAGATTCTACAGAGCGAGTTGCAAAGTCAATCGAAACATCTAATAAAGTTTCCAATAAAGTTTTTCTAACACTTTTATCTTCTACCATCTCACGAAGTGTTTCCACACGGAAAAATGTACTTGATGATAATCTTACTAATTGATCTGCAAGAACATTAAAAAATATTTCAAGAAAGCGGTATGAAGTAACATCTTGAGTGTGGTTTCCGAAAAAATATCTCTGAAAAAGTTCTTGGCAACGGTTTTGTGATATTTGTATTATTTCACCATCTTCAGGTATTATAATATCAATATTCTCTTGATTAATTATATCCTGGTCATATGCATCCAAGTATCTAGCGACTACTTGAATTGGGCTATTATAATTATAAGAAATAGCAAGTTTTTTAATATTCCAAGTTAAATGTTCTTTCACTAAATACCCGGTAATTGGTAATGAATTTAACAAATATTGATTCATAGTAGAGGCAACTTCTATAAATACTAATGTTTTCGATGGAATGAAAGCAATGTTAATTCCATTCGATACCACTCTAAATGTTAATAGTTCAAATAAAAACATGTTCACATCATAAGGATGATTTATCAACATGATATTAAGATGCAAGCTTTCAAAAATCCTGATTTTAGTTTCAGATAGTTTTTTAACAAGTTTTTCAAAAGTGGCACCATCACTTACTAAGACACTTCGTGGAGTTAGACCATTATTAAAACTATATTCTTTAATCCATTCAGTTTTTCCTTGCCCAGATAAATCTGAAGAAATGGTGAATACATTCGGGCACAATTCCTTATATATATTTCGCATTGAATCTGCATTAAGACCATTAGTTATATGGACATATTCAGAAAATTGATCAAGTATATGATGTTGCATGCCATTTTCACGACAGCAAATTAATGCTAAATTAAATTGCCTCTCTTGTTGAGAAAGAGAACGTATATGCGTTACTAATTGGTATTGCAGTTCAAAATCAAGATTCTCTACATTAGCTATAGAAAATAATTGATCCCCGTTTTTTTCAGCGAAGAAGCATCGTTTAGTAAAAATTAAGAGCTCTTCTGCTGTAGTAGATGCTTTGCAAATTAGCAATTGCCATGATTCTGGATAACATCGATTTAAGTTAACAGCATATAAACTCATTATAATATTTGGTACTCTGAATTTATCAGTGCATGCAGCAACAAAAAGTTGTCCTGGATGAACCACATCGGACATTATTTGTTCAACATCAGCTGTTATTGGACGTTTTTTCGCTGGTACTTTATCAAATATTTCGCCTAATCTTTCTCCAATTCCACAGAGGATATCAAGATGAGTATCAGTACTGTCAATATGTTTCTCTACTATAGGCGGTAACTCGGCTTTGTCATTAACTAACCGTAAAAGCATTGCACATTTATCTTTATTATTTTCCTCATTTGACTTTGATGATGTGAAATAATCATAAAAGACCAAAATTTGTCTAGCTAGAAAGAAGGTTAAATAATAATGATCTTGCTGTGCAGTACCAACTATGTCTTTCCACTCTTGTAAATTTTCATTTAAAGTTTGTAATAGTTCTGTGCTTTGTCGCGTAGATTTTGTTGATACTTTAAAATCTCGGTAATCAAAATGGCCAAGCTCTACAAGCTGCGAAGATACGTTAATTATTTGTTGTGCCAGGTCAACTTGGACAACAAATTCATTCATATGGAAAGCAGAGATTTCACTACTTTTACTACTATCATCTGACGTCTTTGCGTTAACAGGACTTTTGGCAATTAAAAGAGCACGGCCACGTAAGTCTTGTAGATCATTAAAGGTATACTTTGTTAATGCATTTTCATCCCGTGCATTATGTGATTGGTATGATAATGTTGCAGTACATTTGTATTCTTCGTCATCTATTCTCTGAAAAGTGTACTCTCCTTTTGTTACTGCATAATAGATTCTTTCTTTTGTAACTTCACCCCGATTCGAAATGTTTTCATACATATTTTTTAATGCCTGAGCATGAGCATTACATAATCTCAGTTTACCGGAGAGTGTTGGATTCTTGGAGATTACAGTGATAAGATTCTTCAAAAACCTGTCTACCGCTAAATCAGCAGAAGCGGAATCTTCACTTTTAGCTACTAAAGGCTCCAAAATTTGTTTTATTCGGATAAATGTTGAAACAGTATCTTCCTGTATCAAACGTTCATCAGAATGATCATCTACACCATTAATTAAATTTTTTAAATCATGGCCTACAAGTGATTGTAGAAAGATAAGAAAATCCTTTGAATCTGCCATTTCCTTAATTATTGCCCAACATTTTTCTAATTTATATTTATCAATATTTTTTTCTAATTCCTCAATAATTTTTTGTAGCTGGCTAAGTTTTAATCCTTCTTCTTCTAAAGATTGAAAAATTTTTTTAACCCAAAGCCTTTGACTATAAGGTATTTTCAGAGTGTCCAAGACTGTTATAAGATTAATTAATTTTTGTTTTAACGAATACATGCTAACCAAATATTTTGCTGCAGCAATTAATTTTTTTTCTTCTTGCGATCGTCTATAATCAGTATGAGCTTGTGTGAATCTAATGCAATTTGGAGTTATGAAATAAACTTCAAACTCGACATTAGTTAGGTCGACATTTTGCCAGAGCATATTCGCTTCAGAACATATAATATTTTCCCAGTCTTCATATTGTTTACATATAGTATTGAATTTTTCGATTGCCATCTGAATCAATTCCGTGGTTACAATATCAACAGTTAATATCCGGTCTTCTGCCTTTAACACAGCCAGAAAAACATTATTAAAGATCTGTGATTCAACAAACTTATAAGTGCTCTCCATAACATCAATAGTTGCACAATGAATTGACCAATAATCTTGAGCAATAGTTTCTTCAAGAGTAATATTATCAATTTCATTTTGTCTTTTTAATAGATCTTCTCGATATTCACGATAATTATTTATTAGATCAGAAGGATAAAATCGGTCATAAAATTTAGTAAGTTTCGTAAATACTGTCTGATACTTTTTACATTGCTGGCGTAGGTCATCAAGAATTCTATCGGTAATTATAAGATTCACGTTATCTTCCGGTTGATTTTCAATTGCGGAATTAAAATAATTTATTAGAATATCATTATTATCGACAGAGTGTTCGAATAATTCTTGAAGTAATCCTATTACAATTGTACTATTAGCAGCCGATATTGCAAGACGAACTATGTGATCGCGCACACTTTGAACATATGGATGAGAATGTAATTCTCTCGTGTGACCTTTCGCCCGAAAAATTACTGTCCAAAATTGAGCGAACCGAATCGATGAACTTTTATGAAATTCTTGGTCTAAAGCTTTTTTGTCCGACTGTTTTTGTAGACGTTCTAATATTAAGCATAATATTTCCTCGCAAAAACTGATTTTAAAATGATAAGTATGTCAATGAAAATTTTATAAATGTTAAAAAGGACTGCACATAAACACTTACCTGCTGTTAACATTTATGTTGGTAGGATCATTAGTGCAATCACATATTTGTGAAATCTTTTTCAAAAGTTGATTATCAGGTTCTTGAATATTACGTTCAATTCTGGTCTTTAATAAAGCACCAAAGTGATCAATAACATCAATATCAAAATCTTCAACGTATGAGGCAACAGAGAGTATAACATCATCAGATAAAGGACCAGCAGATTTATCAGCAACAAGTTTTAATTTGTTGCAAAATTTTGGGTAATTTAAGACAAGCGGATACATTGGAGAAAGATTATAAAAAATGATATAAGCAATATTATCTTTGTTATTTGCACTTTTTGCATTGGCTTTAGAAGTTCTATAAGAGATTATCTTTTCCAGCCATTTTATTGAAGTTTCAAGAACATATTCATCTCTTTTCAGAAGCTTTTTCTTCAAAACGCATTTAATGACATCAGGGAAAGTTTCTAAGACTAGAATTTGGTCTGAGTCTGCAATAGCATCAAGAGCTTTTGCGTATTCATCTAAAGGCCATTGTAACGAATCATCTTGAAGAAGTTCTTGAAAGGAATCAATATTCTTGTTCTGCCATTTGCAGTTCCTTTCATTCAATGATTTTATAAGTTTATTTCGAAACTCTGGTGCAACTATATCTTGGAGTTCATTTGGAAATAAATTAAAGTGTTCCTTTAATCGAGAAGGATCATCAAATTTTATGAATTCATTCATTCTTCTTTTTATAACTTTACACAAATGATCATCCGTTCTCTCTAATCCGATAATGTCATTCCACAAAAATATGAGACTTTCCAGACCGTAAGTTATGTTAATTAATTTCTGTAAAAAGATAAAATAATATAAGAGAATTATACTAATAACCATTTTAGATAAAATATGTTATTACCTTCATAACTTTATGAAATACATCTAGACGATTAATCAATTCATTAATGTGGGGCTTCACATTTTCCATCAAAGCCATATGAAACTGGTCCCGATTATTTTTGAAATCGTAGCTTTCTGCCGAATCTATGAAAGAATAAGACGGATCAAGTTTTGGCGCAAGAGAAAACATTCTAAACCATGACGTAGAGCCTTGCAAAGAATTATGCTGAACTAGAATTCTAATTGCAACTAAGATTAAATGTCGAATGTCGGAAAGAATAAAATCTGGGTCAACGCTTGCAAGGTCTTCTAACATGTTAGCAGATTGAAAACTTTCGGGCAACGAATATGCGGGCATATAGGCATGTGATTGTAAATGCCCGAGAAGGATGCATAGGAAAAATCGCTGTTCTTTCTTAGTACTCTCTAACAATTTCTTATTTATAAACTTGAAATTTGTTGCGTGAATTGTATACTCTTGATAATTCTTCATGATATATTGATAATCCATAATTTTGTCTCTCAAACTATCAATTCCCTTAATGCTTACGTAAATACTTTCAACAAACCGAAAATCACCTTTAAGGTATTCTTTATCTATTCTAAACTTATTACTATTTTGCCAGATATCGAATTGGTTTTTTCGGAAAGTCATTCTACGGTTAGTTGATTGGCTATTACCTTCGTATTCGATTGACTGTTTGAAAATACCCTTCACAATCATAACATATTTGTAAGATACATCTTCGGCTATAGGAATTTGCACATGATCTGATATCCAGAGTGTGGTTTTTAGAATTTGGCGAAGTTGTACTTTTGCTTCTTTCCATTCACCTAAAGATACGCAACTTCCGAAAACTGCTGGCTGAGTAGATGAATCAATATGTGGTAAATGAACTGCAAATACTGTTGTATTTGATAAATTTGTATCAATATTCATATCGCTCGTATTAACTCCACCATTTTGCGAAGCTGCTGTAGTGGAGCTTGAGCCTCTCGTATCCTTATCACCCATTATTTTTTTAAGTTCCTGATTAAATCCTATTATATTTTTGATATTTTCAACTATTTAACCAACAATACCTATCCACTTTCTTAGAGAAGAAAGTTTCGGACTTTTTTTTGCACAATTAAGAGGTAATTTCAATGATAGACGGTTACACTACAGCAATATAATAACCTTTTTTGATGATGATACAAAATTTGTATTACGTACGTACGTACGAATGTCGTACGACAACACGTGTTCAAGGCTTGTATTGCAATCAACATGATCGTTCCACAATTTATGCTAAAGTGTAATTATCACTATCGATTCATAATGTACTATAAATTTCTAAGTTACAGGATTATTTAATGTTGAATCTTCATTATTACGTATATATTAAATTGAACCATCCAATTACTTTTATTCTATTTTCAAAAGGGTGCTTAAAATTATATTCTCAGATATTATTATTTTATCAAAATTAGTGATACGCATCGATGTCAAACCTCGGGTCGACCGGGCCAACCATTTTATTAAAAATTTTTTTTTGTCTAACTATAATTTAATACATTGTAGTGAATAAAGAATAATGTTAAGCAAATGTTATTAATAAACAATAAATTATAGAATAATAATAATAATAATAATAATAATTAAAGAGAGTTGTTATTTCCACTCTAATGCCACCCCTAACCGGCCTCTGACCCAGGGACAGTTAAAAATTTTTTAAAAAATTTATCCAAATTTTTGGTAATTTTCGAAATAAAACAAACTTTTTAGCAAATCCAAATCTAACCAATCAGAACACAGAAGTCATATCATGTTATATCTGATCTCGTATTTAATTGGTAGTGATGCAAACAATAGCAATCATTTTTATATTATTCGATAACGATAATTTTTTTTAGATTGTTATTTTTTTTACCATTTTTTTTTGGCGATAATTTTTTGCTTGGTGTGCTTTCGCTATTTTTTTAGCGTAATATAGATTTTTTTATTATGTTATAAATACACATTGCCATAGGTAAAAACCCCATAATCTCAAGACTCAAAACGCATGCGAAACGATGCACGATTGACACACGAATTATTACACAAAAGACAATGCAAAAAAATAACAAAACACTTCGATTTTATATAATTGAAATTTATCGAAATATTCGCAAAAATTATCAAAATATTTTAAAATTATCGAAATAATATTTAATGTCCCTGCCGACCTAGTCACGTGCAACGTATTACAAATAGAGGTCACGTGGCTTTCGAATTCTTGCATTTTGACCCGTGACTTATCTCCGTTATCGGAGCATAGCAGAAGTTCGTTTTAATTAGTTGGTAAAATACCCCGGAAAAAATGTGATCATACTTCGGATAGATACCCGCATAAAGTTTATTACTCTTAAACTTTTAATACTCTCAGTAGCAAAGGTTACATTTTTGATAGGTCTTCGACAGAGACACGGAAGAATTTCGATATCATTTTGCAATTTTTGTTCGATATAAAAATTTGATTAAAGTACAGTATAAACGAGCCTAATTTCTATTTTTGTCCAATAGACATGCCACAAAATCAAGCCAATAATCAGCAAAAAAATATTCATAAAACTCGCATATTTTTTGCAGATACTTGATAATGGCATTTAATCTGTTTATCAAAATTGACAATTATCATTAGCTGTTATTACAGTATTATAAAATTCAATAACTATCTGTATTTGAAATTTCATCAACACGAAAAATAGATTGCTATAGTATAACTATAATCTTTTTTCACATGAAGTTGCACAACCAAACAAGCAATATGATTGGTGGGTTAAAATAGCCAACCAATCAGATTAGCCGTGTAACTTCACATGCATAAAAAAAATGTAAAAATTGGTTTATAATGCGATATTCGGTAAAAATTGTGATTTATTGTTTTCTAATCTTTTCGAAATTTTTCCGTGTCCCTGGTTTGCGGTTACTTTTTCGATAGGCGCGATCATACCCTAAATTGAGGTGGCGTTCTTGATGCATCATATTCTTAAAATTTTAAACTTTTTCAAGAATTTGAGCAAAAATATTTTGATGGCCACCTAACTAAATTTAACAATTTTTTTTTATTTTGATTCTTTAGCTCTGTAGAATCAAAATAAAAAATTCGTCAAATTTGGGTAGGTGGTTGTTGAGATATCTTCACTCAAAGTCCTGAAACATTAAAACGTTTTAAAAATAACAGCTACGGCCAAATTTTTATAAAGCTTTGAGTGAAGATATCTCAGCGACTACCCATCTAAATTCAATAAAAATTTTTTATTTTGTTTCTACAAATCTCTAGAATCAAAATAAAAAAAGTTCATCTAATTTTGCTAGGTTGATTACTGAGATATCTTTGCTCAAAGCTTTGAAAACGTGAAGCATCTATCAAAATAGCTGCAGAGAGAAGATATCTCAGCGATCACTCATCCAAATTCGATAGTTTTTTTTTTTTTTTTGCTTCTGCAGATCTGTAGAATCAAAATAAAAAAAGTTCATCAAATTTTACTAGGTAGTTGCTGAGATATCTTCGTTCAAAGCTTTGAAAACATTAAAGCATTTATCAAAATAGCAGCGGCCAAATTTTTATAAGTTTGAGCGAAGATATTTCAGGGACTACCCATCCAATTCGATGAATTTTTTTTTATTTTGATTCTACAGACCTATAGAATCAAAATAAAAAAATTGACAAATGTAACTAGGTGTTGCTGAGATATCATCGCTCAAAAGTTTAAAAACATGAAGCGTCTATCAAAATAGCTGCAGTCAAATTTTTTAAGAGAAGATTTCTCAGCGACCACTCATCAAATTCGATAGTTTTTTTTTGTTTCTGCAGATATGTAGAATCAATATAAAAAAAGTTTGTCGAATTTTGCTGGGTGGTTGCTGAGATATCTCCGCTCAAAGTTTTGAAAATAGCAGCGGGCAAATTTTTGCAAGTTTGAGCGAAGATATCTCAGGGACCAACTATTCAAATCCGATTAATTTTTTTATTTATTTTGATTTTACAAACCTATAGAATCAAAATAAAAAATAATTTATTAAATTTATTTTAGATATCTTTGGTGAATTTTTTAAAAAATTAAATTTTATAAGAATATGGAGCATTAAGAACGCCACCTCAATTTAGGGTATGATCGGCGTCTGTCAAAAAGTAACCGCAGACCTATCAAAAATGTAACTTTTGCGGTACAGAACTTGAATTTATTATGCCGAAAAATCATTCGGCTAATTTTTTATCAGGTATCCCAGGAATTATTATTATTATGATATTATTTTATGAAATCTGTGCCCGGTTACCGATCATCATGTAACAATTATCTAAGTACCTTAACTGTGACAAATTTTCAACCTTTGAGCGAAAATATCTCAATAACTAATTATTTAAAAACCAATAAAAATTTTATTATAATTCTATGTGTCAATAGAATTCAAATAAAAAAATATATTATCGATTTTAGATCGGTAATTAGGCGAGACCAATTTGATTCAGTGGTTTACGTTACCCCCCCGCTCATAGGAAGACATTCATATGATTGGTTAATTTTGTCGATCTACCCGTGATTGCCCGTGATAATTAACCAATCAAATTACATAATTTTTTAAAACGTTTATCATTTTAATACTAGAAAACGAAGAAAACTTCGCTTAAAGAAGTTTACAAACCAATAAATT